ATCAATCGATCATGTATACGCCGTTAATCGCATCATGAATGGCGAATGAAATGCATGATAATTCTATACTCACAGAGGAGGTGGTCGCCGACGTGGAAGCGGTTGTTCATGGCCCACCAGCCGTAGCTGGTGTTGGCGTCCGGGACGCGCCACCCGCGCGGCCCGCCCACGCGAAACTCAAACACCGGCCGCGGGCGCGGCTGCCTCGGCGGCGACGCCGGGAGCGACGAGGGAGAAGAAGAAGACCCCAGCGAGGGCCAGCGCGAGGGAGCTGCCGGCGGCCGCCGCCATGGATCTTGCTTGCAGTGCAGCTGTGATGCACTCTTTGGTGAGAGCGAGGATCAGGGAGAAGGACTGTTGAGCCTTCTGCCCTCTAGTCAGGTTGGCGGGGAGCCGGGGAGTGTGCTTGTGCTCTACTGCTCTCTCGCCGTCGCGCGCGCATTGCGTGGGGTGGAAGAAGTGAAGAACTGCAGGTGCGGCCGCGTTTTAGATGGGCTTGGCAGGCTCGGACAGTTCTACTTTGACTGCGCGCGCGCAAGCTATGGATTGGTGCCTTGGTGGGACATGGGAAACGTGCGTGCGGCGAGGACAGGGACGTGGGCAACAAGACAACGACGAACTGAGGCGGCGGCGGCAGTTAACGCTCATGCCATCGCCCGGATTGCCAACTTCGATGATCCAAGCGCCGCGCACTGCACTGCAATCGTGCACTGCCAATGCGTGCTGGTGAGTCCTTGCTAAAGATGGCAACGGCCCCGATACCCGATACCCGACGGGTATTTGATCCATTAGGGGACGAGGATAGGATCATATCTTTACCCGCGAGCATCTAAATGGGCAAGAATCCATCCCCGACAGGTATAGCGGGTACAGGAACGTTCCCTGTTTACCCGTCCCCGTTACCCGTTGGGGAACCCGACTATTTGAGCTGTCATACGAGTATTAGGCCCAAAGAAGCTCAACATAGGTATTGTGCCCCAAATCTGAACAATCATATATATAGTTTGTGTGTTCTAGGAACCCTAGTTCAATTTTTTTCACCATCTCCGCCAACAGCACAACTACGCCTGCCTCACGAGTGCTCGTGCCCCTCGCTTCCTCAGTTCGGTCTCTCTGCCACCTTTGCTCGTCCTCCTCGCAACCTCGCTCCTTCTCCTCGGCATCTCCGAGACTCCGACACTTATACCCGGGTGAAGAAGAAACGTCTCCGATTGCAAAACTGTGACCCCAAGTGTCCTTGTTTATCGGGTATGCAGTTCCCGTCGGGTATCTGTTACCCGACCGATGCCCGACGGGTACGGGGATGGGCAAGAATCTACCCGAGACAGTTAACGGGGACAGGGACGGGATGAATTCTCTATAGCGGGGAAAAAAACGTTCCGACGATACCCGACGGCTACGTTCCGTTGCCATCCTTAGCCCTTGCAGCCGGTAGCCCGGAGCGTCCAAGGCCCACGAAATTCGAGCGTCTGTGTCAACGGCCCTTCCCTCCTGAAATCCAAGTCTATAGCTATATCAATTCAGCCCACGAAATAGCCACAGCGAGCCCAGCCCACGGTATGACCTAGGCATTCGCCGTCCCGCGTCCAACGCCCCCAGTCGGCCGCGCCCACCCAGCCAGCCGCACGCAACGCAGCTACACCGCGCCGCCACCCCCACACACATCGGCAGTTCGGCACCTCGCACATCGACACCCTCGTCCGGTGACTGTGCTTCCCACATTCCCGCTCCGGTCCTCCCAAGGTGAGCCCCAATCTCCACCCCTAATTCACAAGATTTGAACTCTGTAGCAGTGAGTCAGGAGATTGCGAGCTCTGTTTGGTGGAAAGGGCAGGGCCACATGTTCCGGGGCCTGGTCGGATATCAGCCGGCTAAAGCTAGTGAGAGAAAAAAAAATACTGTAGATGCGAATTTGCTCCATGCGCATTTTCAGGACTGCCTAGATGCATACCTGTCACTGTACTGTCGTGTTCTTTTTAACTGATGGCAAGGTCAAGTTGAAATGATGCATATCTGGAAGACTGCTAGTTTGCAACTGTATATTCTAGTTCCTATCCTGTATCAGCAATATTATACTCTGTGAGTACAATCATCATGCATTCCATTCAGGTTATAGAATCATACAACAGCAAACGAATGGAATGGAAGGATGGTGTCATCTTGTAGTGTTTTGCTTGTGTCAATGAGCTTTTAAGCGATTCTGTTAATGAGCCTACTTATCATGGTAAAAAAAAAGAGGGTACCAATTTGGGGATATTGGAGAAATTACTTTGTAGGTAGGATTAATAAGGAAACTCAAAGCCTTCATGCGATAGTGCTTATTCTGATCTTCTCAAATTCCTAGGGACTTGCTTGTTTATTCATCTTTGTTGAGGGTCTGTGTAAGAATTATAGTTTTATTGGTCTTTCTACAACCTTGCATTTTAGTACTGCCATCACCAGACTCAATAAAGAAAACTTCGCTACCTGTCCCGAGTCTCTCCTGCTTTCGTTTGCTGTGAGTATTGTTCATATAAATAAGTGATTCTTCTTTCTTCATGTTGGATTTATCAGGGCTCATCCCTGCACGTGGATTCAAGATGTATCTCCAGTACTACATCAACGAGAAGGGGGACAAGGTTTACACCACCAAGGTTGTATGATCTTGTGCTTACTCTTCACTGAATAGCTGGTGATTTTGGGGTGTTAGCCCATGCTAATTTGTGTACCTTTGTTCTTGTTTTGCAGAAGGAGTCGCCTCTTGGGGTACCGACGCAGTCTGCTCACCCGGGTACGCTGTCTTTGTTCACTGGAGTTACTCCTTTGTTACTGTTGTTATATTACTTACCGGCCAACACGTAATAGTTGGGTAGCTTTCTTTTGTTGGGTTGAAGGATGCAGTCATGGCTGTCTACTCAATAGCAGTAGACATGTTTGTAGAGTTGGTTGGAGCCCCACTTGATTTTATTCGATAGTATGTTATCTTCAATTTCTTCTGAGTTTGGATTCTGAGTATTTTAAGCAGACAAATGAGGATTTGAATAAAGAGTAATGGTACCTATCAAAACTGCAGATCATTTTTTTTCTTTTCCAGTGACAGTTTCGTTTGCTTTTATATGATATATGATCAATGAATCACCTGATATTCGTTTATGATCTACTAGGATTCTGACCAGTCGTTAATGGACTAATAAATGTTTGCCAGATTAAAGCTTCATTCTGTTGTACTTGGACTAATAAATGTAAAAAGATTAAATGTGAACACTTGTATTGTCGATATATATGACCAAACAAAGATGTAGCCTGCAGAATTGAAACATGTGGAATTTGTTCTTTCATTGTTGCATTTTGTGGTTTTGATTGTTCATTCAATAATTCGAGTGCCCTCTCATGGTCCCATTCTCTCAACTTGATTTACTGAAACTTTTTCCTTGTGCTGCAGCTCGCTTCTCACCAGATGACAAGTACTCTCGCCAGCGGTACCTGTTGAAGAAGAGATTTGCACTGCTGCCAACCCAGAAGCCAGCACCGAAGTACTAAAGCCTCAACTGTCTAACAATGGATGTTCAGGAGAAGATCATCTGTTACTCTGCTTGTTTGGAATCTAGAGTAGCTATCTGAGAAGAAATCAAACACTGCTATGCACACTACTATGATATTTCAGCAGCACATTCAGACACAATATGTAATGCTATGTGATTGGCAGATGGTGCTTCCTAACGTTGCATCTTTGTGTCCGTCTGATCGTGCAGTCATCCTCTTTTGGTCTGAACTGCTGTCATGCTTAACAACTACAGAGTATGGCGGAGTCTAGACTGTTGGTGAATTCTGTCTCGTTGGGCATCCTACTGTCGTTCAGCAGCTTAGCAGGGAGTAGAAACTGAGATGGGCCTGCTGATGATCAGCGAATGTTTGCTTGCTGGATAATAAATATAAACCAGCGAACTTCGCTGGCTAAGAAATTAAACCAGCAAAAGATCTGACCATCCTTTGATGGCCATATATATTCTTATTTAACCATGTTTGTTATTATGATTTTGCAAACATATCGATTAGTGTGGAAAGCTTCTTCGTCCAGGTCGGCGCGGAGGACTTGCAAGGGGCCAAGCGCCTGCAAGTCCTTGAGGTGGGAGTTCTTCGCCATGTCATCTAAGTTACACAATGCATGCATGAACATTAAACAGTGAGATTGTCGAAGAAAGGGCGTGCAGATCAGACTTTGCAGTCTTGCTGAGACGATAGATGAGGGCTGCAGAAAGAATAACGAATCAGACCGGGGTTCCAGCAGCATCTTGATGAGCGCCGAGGCGACGTACCCACAGCCCCCTGTCACGCACGCACGCCGTCTTCTCCCCTACGGACGACGACATCGCCGGCGTCGATGCTGCTAGCTGGTGACTTTGAGCAAGCTGATCTTTTTCGTCACACTAGGCGAGTAGACGATGAAACTGAGCGCGCAATAACATGACTGTCCTGCTTGTAGGAGGTCAAGGAAAAAAATGGCACGTCCCGTCGGCCAAAATTGACTGAGCTTCTGGATGCGCTGCACGTCATCAACATGGTAAACATCTGCTTTCGGTTTCCTTTCCTTTTTCCGAACCCAAAAACATATGATTATGATGATTCCAGTGCAGTCGCCGTATGCTGCATACACCAGATAATCAATCACGGAAACTAACAAAGCAATATCCACGTATGTGTACCTAATCAATCCATGTAGATTGTCGTGGACTTGAACAAAGCAAGCTAGAAATACTAATCACGAAAGGAGAAACCCAACCCCTTGGGTAAGCTTTGTCTTGCCAAGTTGCCAGCCCGGGAGATCCATTTTAGCTTGCCTGCCTTAGCAAAGAAAAGCTCACAAGCACATGCCCTGAGATAACTACTGGCTGGACATCCAAAGAAAAGCTCAGCCCCACATGCCCTGAGATAACTGGCTGAAAAAGATTATCTGAGTAGTTATTACAAGAGTCAAAATTTTGGCCATTTGGCTAGACGAATTGCAAAGCAGCAGCTCATGCTCATTTCCACGCCTTGCGGCCCCTGAACTGATTCCCGGAGCGCTTGCGCTGCTGCTGCTTCTCCTGCCGAGAACGTGCTGCCTTGGCTCTAGTAGCTGCCAGGGGCATCCTCTTCTTGTGCTGCTTCTGCTTATTGCTCAGGCCACCGGTCTGCAAGACATTATTTATGAATCATACAATCAGAAGAGGTTATACAAGAAACGATTAGGTGATGATCTTGAAGGCAAGGATGCACTCGTCAGAACAGTACGAATAAAAAAGCCATGTTGTCACCACAAAACAAACATTAACAGCCTGCAAGTTTACCTTTTTCTGTTTCACAGCCGTCCTTGCCATGTATGGACCTCTATCCTCTCTCCCAGCTTTCACTAATGCTAACCTTTCTTCTTTCGACATCTTTCTCCTGACATGTGCCTGCATCACAAAATTTATGAGTGTCAAGCATATGCATGTGTGTCACTGTGTGAGTCAGTGCACAATAAAGGGAGAGGGAGAGCACCTCAAGCTCAAGTGGATCAACGCGCTTCCTACTGAGCTGATCAGAAGATGGCATCTTAAAGGTTACAGATCTCGTGTCACCACCCTTGATTAGTCCACGTTGAGCCAAAGCCAGCTTTGCCTCCTTCTTCGCCTGAAACACAAATATATTCGGTTAAGACATCCATGATCCATCTAAGAACAGAATGTGAGCAAATTTATTTTGCCACAAGTAGCTTTTTGAAATACTGTAGATATATAAGCCATAAAAAATTCACATACCTTGAGTTCTTTGATGCGTTTAAAATCTTCATCAGATAGAATTTTACCAGTTTCATCAGATGAAACTTCAGCCTTCTTGGCAGTTGCTAACCTCTTCAGAGCTCGAAGGCTTGCATCAGCAGCATTTAGCTCTCCAATATAATCACTTAACTTCCTCTTCTCCACTTTAGAGCCACTGCCTTTTGACTTGTCTTCCTCATCGCTGTCTTCATCCTGGTCTGAAGCTTGATCCTCTGAATCATTTATGCTTTCTTTCAGTTCATCATCATCATCATCTTCGTCTTCATCAGATATATCAGTATCAGCATCCATGTCAGAGTCATCATCTAGTTCATCACTATCATTGTTGGAGTCATCTTGACCTGTACCATCTTCATCATCAGATGCTTCATCTTCCTCTTTAGTATCTCCGTCTGCATCATGTTTGTTTGCAACAGATAAACCCTCCATATTTTCTTCTGTTCCAGTAGGGGCAGATGCCAAGTCCATGTCATCATCGGAATCAAAAGCATCAGACTCATCGTCAGAGCCTTCCCCTTCTGAAGAAATATTTTCATCTAGCAACTCGGCACCAGGCACGTTGCTAGCAACAGTGACTTCTCCAAATGCTTTGGGCCGAGCCTTTGGATCCACAGGACGGCCACGATCTTTCTTGACTAACAACGAAGGGCAGATCTGAACTTCAATTAACAGAGGTTTAGCGACAGGGAATTCCAACATACAGAAAAAAAACATTGGAAAATTTGCAAGAAAAGATCTGACCTCTCTGAACAATGTGATCAGCGAACGAGCAGCAATGGAAACAGCTTTCTCATGGGACTTTTTGTATAAAACGAGGTCTTGGAGCAGATCCTCATTCATCATCTGCAGATTTCCCATATGAGTGGATGAAGTATAAAGATAAGTGCAACAAAGAAACTGTACATCTCCCCAGATATTCTAGAATGCACAGGAATCTCAGATTTACTTGTGTGTTTTACATCAGCACCAGTAAAAAAAAATCCACCTCAATAGCAATAATGGCAGCCAACCACAAACTAAAACCGTTCACAACCATATTCCTACAGCTATTTACATGCTTAAAATATTTAGCATCACAATTGCAACCTTTTCAGTCTATCAGTAATTAATACAGAAAAGAAAAAATAGTGAAAATACGGCCATTATCCCTCTTCTTACATCATATATGAAACACAACTAACAAAAGCACTAGCTTTCAGTTCCGGTGCCTAGGGGTATCTGTCTAATACCATTGCAGACAGAGTATTGTTTAAGGCAACCAAAAGATCAAGGTACCTACCAAAGGCATTCTCATGCAGATCTCTCTCACAACATTTAAGCCAACAGCAATTGCCTAAAAGAAGTGAAGTCAGATATATGCTCATGCAATCTTGTTAGATGGAAGAACACATAATCTGTATGCTGAAAAAGGGTCATGCAAACCTCTGGGCGAGAACGGTCATGCACAAACTGATTTACTATCTGCTTGAACAGTGGTTCAACAGCATCTGGAGGTACCTAACATTTACACATATTTTGCATTCAGAAAAAAAAAGTAATGCAAGTGGAACCATTAGTTGCAAAGGAATGAACTTTTGAAGATGTGCAACCATATCATGGCAAGCCTGAACTGCTGCAGCGAGTAGAATCGTCACATCTCGTTGATGAGGCTGCACAGAGATGTATCAAAAATTATACCTGAGTTAGTATTACCAAACTAGTTGGTGTTTCAAAGGCTGACGCAAACAAAAATACCATTTTAAATAACATACTTGAACGTATCTTTGAAGATATGGGTAGAAGTTCAACAAAACCAAGTGATGTAGCCCAATAGTCCTCGCAATTACTTTTAGCATCATCATCCTTACCTGCAGTGCAAAAGATTTTCTTGAAGCTTAAATGGTTGATTCTTACTAAAGAGAAGGACAAAGAAGGCATTAGCAACATTATGAATGTACAAAAAAAAAAGAGTATGACCTCAAATCGCTCATTGCACTTCTGCAGACGAGAGAAAAGCTTCTCAGCAAAACCCTGCCATCCATAAAAATAGAAAACATTTCAGCATAATAGAGGAGTTTCATAGGTAACAAGTGGATATGCCATTCCATAGATAGTAGAGGCACTATCTCACCTGGGCATTCTTTAAATATGTCAGGGGTGAATAGAAACTGGAACCAGTCTCCTCAACAGATTTCTGCTGTTGCCTTTTCATGCTACGAATGACACGCTGCAATTTAGCTTTCTTCTTTTTCTTACTAGCAGCTGTACCCTTGTGATTTGCCTGAGAATTCATATACCAACAAAATACAAACGATGCATCAGAGGGAATAAAGCAAAGCAAATCAAATATATCTAAAAAATGTCAGTTGAGGCACAATTAAAAAGTTAAAGCACCTTATAAACATCCTGTTCACTAAGAAGAATTTGTGGGTTTTGGTCTGCTTCATCTTCACTGCTTGATGCGTCGCTGACATCCTCTTGTGGAGCATTTTCATATCCAAGAAGGAATGAAATAGCAGCTATCATAATCCTGCATTTAATGACAATCATTTTAGATTGGGAGCAGCCAATAGAACTTCTAAAAAATATGTTCTAGCAGCATGTACCTAGAGGAAGGGTGGAAACAAGCATCGCATATTGCATTTGTTGTGCGTTCATCAAACCAGACCCTCCGACGGTGAAGATCGCACAGGATAGTAAATGCTCTCTTTGCTCGTGACTCTTCTTCAGCCTGAAAAACAGGTGTATAAAATGAGCTAGAGGGAAAACAAATTTGTATATGTTTTTCAATATGCTAAAACCTGATACTACTGATTAATGCATTCACAAGATGTCGCAAACCTGTAAGAATTTAAAAAGGATGTTTTGCAATTTACGATTCGTCGATTCATTCTTGTGGTTCTGGTTCATCCTCCTGATACTGTGTACAATATGCGAAAATGCTAGCTTTTTTACAGCTCGGTCTCCAATAACTTGAAGCTCTATGAATAACTCCATTGTGTCCTCAAGATCAACAATCTGATTTATTTTTTTCAAAACAAAAGAGGGGGATGGCAGAAGTGATCAGATTTCAATGGCACAAACGATGTGTCAAATAAATCAGTTACTGCACAAAGCAAAAGTGAATTATTTACACCAAGCTAATAGCCCATACCCAAAAATCCTAGTTTGAGATATGTATATTCCCACTGCTTACTTGAAAGAGGGTACTCATTGTAATACAACTCTAGCAAAATGTAGTGAAGCTCACATCATTTGATCAAAATCAGTGATGTATTGATGTTGGACCTTACTGACGAGAGATCATAACAAATTATGACACTTGTGTTAAGACGAACATAAGAAAAACTATAAGAGAACGTGAGCATGTCGTTTTGTAACATCATCAGAAATTCATACTCATTGTAAAGCCGTTTTCCTTAATCTGTTGGTATCCTTCCACTAAGCTAACCACAAGGATATCTATTCTAAACTCCACAAAAACTTAACCATTTTGCATTTGCAATACTAAACTGCGATTAAAAGACAGAAACAAACACAACAGTAACACCAAAACTATTTACCTTCCGATTCACCAGCAGTATAAGCGCCTGCACGAGGTGAGCCCGGAGCCCCGGCGGCAGCCCGCGCGCGTTGGTGTCGAGCAAACCCCCAATCTGGTCGGGCAAATCGGCGAGGTCGTCCGGGTAGAAAGGCGCGACGTGGGCGAGGAACAGGGCGAGGTCCCCGAGCTCCTTGGCCACCTCCCCGCCACCTCCCGAGGACGAGGTCGTAGCCAGCGCCGCCTGCTGCTGGAAGAGAAACACCGAGGACTCGAAGTGGCGGTGGAGCTGGCGGAGCTCCTCCTCGTAGCCCTCCGGGTCGCGCTTCATCTTCGCCTGAAGCACGGGGAGGTTATGCGGCTGGCCAGCCCCGACTGACGCTGAGGCGGTGGCCGCCTCCGGCGTGAACGCCGGCGCGTGCTTGCGCGGCATCGGCGCGGGAAATAAAAAATGCCCTTGGTCTGCGCCGCCGCCGATGTGCTAAAAGCCTAGGCGCGGCAGCAGGATCAGGGGCGGAGCGACGTTGGCAGTGCCATGCGGCCGCACCGCACCCAGAGATCATTGCTCCAACGTTTTTGCACCCCCTAGGCCCAAAGTCACGAACGCAGAGGCCCAGCTGAGCAGCCCAGAACCAGTAGGAGCTGGCGAAAGATTAGTAGAAAGATGGTTTTCGGGCATGAAGATTGCAGAAACAATTGTCTATAAAATTGATGATTAGCATTTTGAGTAACGGACTTAGTTGCTATGTGGAGAAATAAAAACCAAATAAAGTTAGGAATGATGCTGTGGTTTTTATTATTCTAGATCGGAACAAATTAGTTGATGGTTATCGTTTCACAGACATGGAAGGAAAATGACGCAAATATGAACTCTGAAAGGTAAAGCTTACGTTTGTAATGGACCATTTCATAGCTTAATTGCGTTGACTGAAACTGACTTGTCTATTCTCCTTTGTTTAGGTTAGTGAAGATCTCGAGGTTGGATCATGTATTTTGTGATCATAATAATCAACCGTCTTCTGTTCATGTGCCATGTTCGTTTGGTTTATAAGTCGTATTTTTTCAGCCAACGAACAATATTTTTCTCTCACAGCAAATCAGCCAAAGCATGATTGCGGCATTCTCCTCTCGCGTCTCTCTGAAGCCTCGCGTGTTTATTCTGGTGGGCCCATCGCGCCATGCGTTGGACACTGGCAGCATTGTGCCATATATATTGTGGTTGTGGATGAGAACATGTTTGGGAGCACGGGACAGCCGGACAGGGGGTGAGCGCAGCTAGGCGCAGTGCGCACGCGTTCCACGAATCCACTCCACGGCCGAGCGCGCTTCATCGGCATGACAGCCCGTCGCCCGCCGTAGCAGCTAGCTGTGACTACCACCGTCGCCGTCGCCGGCGGCCGCTGATCGATATGCATCCATCCCCCACCGACCCGCGGGCTAGTCCGTCGCAGTCGCATCGCATGCACGCGCCCGTCCCTCCCTCTCCGACCGGACCGGTGCCGTGAGACGCACCCGACCGGGGGCCCGCCCCGCCCCCGCCCCGCGTGTCGGCAGGGTGACTGACTCCGCGCTGCACTGCACCTGCACGTCTACACTGCTGCGGCTGTCTGTCGATCGGATCGGATGGATGGTTTCCACGCCGCTTTCCGCAACCAAACACCGCAGCGGCTCGCGAGGTGGTGCGTGTTCGTCATCGTCACCCAGACTTGACTTTGGACCGCGCCCGCTCCCTTTCCTTTCCGCGGGAATGCACCGGCCGGTCGATCCGCCACGGTACGGACGGCTAGCGATGCGACGATGATGAAGAGGAACTCGTACTAGCTACTCGTAAGGTGGTAGCAGGGTGAAGCAGCAGCGCCTAGAGAAAAGGCTACGAGGCTGGCACGGCACCAAGCTGCTGCGTGCGAGGTGACGACGTGACGTGGCACGGGCCAATCCTGCTCCTGCGTGAAGTACACGACAGCACTAGAGGCTACGGGGAATTCGATGACTGATGCATGGAGTGGGCTCGCTCGCATTCAGTAGAGCTACCCTGAATGGAATAATGGATCACAAGCCACATCGCCATATCATAGTGCTCCATCTAATGACGACGATCGAAATTTCCACCGGAATCCGATGTTTTCGCTCATCACCACGCTGTAAATAATCAAGCACGAGCGCACGACATTCTACGCTCCTGATAGCTTTTCCATCTAATGACGACGACGACGCGTCCACCGGAATCCGATCGAGTCGCTCATCATCACGCTGTACTTAAAGCACGAGCGGACGACATTCTACGCTCCTGAAGCTTTTCAGATGGGCATGGGAGCGTACATGTTCAGTTCAGGCTCCACAGCTTCACTGATAAGGAGGAAAAGGTCCCTGCCCTGCCTGAAGATCGAATCCGATCGCTTTCGCGTGGCCCGTTTCTTTCCGCGTGGTGCTGTTGCTGTCGACGCAATGCGACACCAGAAACAACAGGCAAACAGCACACTCCCGGTGCCGTGACCAACCAGAGTCTGAACTCCAAAGTACGTACGCGAGAAATAAAATGACGTGCCGATTGCATTGCAGCTGGGAGGTAACATTCAGATTTCAGACAGGCCCCACAGCAGGTTCCCGGACCTAATCAGTCCGCCGCACCAGCAGCGATCGAGCGACTAAACCCATCTGAAAAACACAGGTTAGTTAAGCTAATCCCCCTGTTAGTGGTAGCACGACAAGACTAAACACCCGGCCAACGCCATTAGCCCATTACCAGACGCCGGATTACCACTAATGGCCATGGCGTCTCGTCGCCGCTCTCTCTCGCCCTGCGCTGATTCCAGAGCGTGGACTTGCCTCGTCGCGCTCGCGGCGCCCAACACGAAAGGACAAAAGAAAGGGGAAAAGAAAAGGGCCGGACGGAGAGCAACGTCGCAACACGCCCGGCCTGGCCCGGCCCATCCCCGAGGCCCGCGCCGCGACACGGTGGTCGAGAGCAAGAGGAAGAAGTTGACCGTTCGTGGTTGGTCGGGTGTGCGTGCCGGGACTGCCCCTGCCGCCCCCGCCCGTGCCGTGTGGACGAGAGCCGCGAGATCGCCACGCGGGGGCCTCCTAGGCCGGCCCGCCACTGTCACAGACTCACGAGCGCCCGGCCTGCCGGCGTGTGGTGGTCGTCACCACCTGCCACGCCGGCTCCGCACCATTCCCACACAGTGGCAGTGGCAGGGGAGTAATATACCCCGCCCTGACACATCGGGCCGGGACCGCATCGGTTCAAAATATTTCGAAAAGGCTCCGCCGCCTCCTCCCCTCCTCTCCCCTCGGCTTCTCGCTCGGATCCGAGCGAACGGAACAATTCCTGCGAATTCGAGGCTGCAAGTCCATGCGAGCTCCGCGATTTCCCTGAGGTTCTCGTTTCCGGGGCGGGCCTCACCGATCCAACAAAGCGCGAGCTCGTCGGCGCTTCAAAGCCACGAGATTCTTTGCCGTCGAGTTCACTCCACCCCGCACCAAGAAAGCTCCACCTCCCCCACCGCGCACAAGAAAAAACCCACTAGCTATTAACCCCTAATCCCACCAGTAATCCCACCATGGCCTCGTCTCTGCCGCCGCGCAGCTCCTGCCAGGTGACCCCCCTCTCTGTTTCTCTTCCCTCCTCCCGCAGCGCAGACCTGTTCTTGTTCTTGGGCAAGTACTGATCCGCATTCCGAGCTGCCTGGGATTTGACGAAATGTGTCTGCCGTGGTGACGGCGTTGTGAACTGCAGAAGAAGGAGAACGCGGGGCTGGCGCGCCGGGAGATGGGGTACAAGGCGCCGCCGCGCCGGAACGTGCTCTCGGCTCTCAACAACGGCGAGGCCAACGGTGGGACGCCGTCCATGCCAGGCGGATAGCGGCGGCGGTGGCGCCGCAGAGGCGGCACCCGCACCCGTGATCGAGTTCAGTGGGAGAGAGGACGTGGAGCGCTTGCTCGCCGAGAAAATGAAGGGCAAAAGCAAGAACGATTTCAAGGTGGGTTTGGGAGTTTTGTTTACTGATGATGATGTGTTATTGTTGTGGATTTGTGGGGGTGTTTTTTTTTTAATCTGGCGGTACCTTGAATTGGTCGTGTTTATGCAGGGGAGAGTCGATCAGATGAGTGACTACATCAAGAAGGTCAGGGCGTGCATCCGGTGGTACATGGAGCTGGAGGATAGCTATTTGGCTGAGCAGGAGAAGCTACGAGGTGCTATGGACTCTGAGAACACCCGTCATACCGAATTGGGTAATGAATCCTCTCTCTCTATATTCGTTCCCGTCTGCCTGATCTGTTGGGTTAGAAAAATTAAGCCCTTCTCAGCACACAGTACTATTTAGGCCGTGTTTAGTTCCTCCCTTTAAAGTTTACTTCCTATCACATCGGATATTTAGACACATGCATTGAGTATTAAATATAGACTAAAAAAATAACTAATTGCATAAATTGTGACTAATTTGCGATACGATTTTTTTAAGCCTAATTAGATCATGATTTGACAATGTGGTGCTACAGTAAACATGTGCTAATGACGGATGAATTAGGCTTAATAAATTCATCTCGCGGATTACTGACGGATTCTGTAATTTGTTTTTTATTAGTATACGAACACCCCATGCGACACCCTCATGTAACACTCGATGTGACATCCCTAAACTTTAATTTCTGGATTTAAACACCACCTTAGATCTGAAGATTCTGAATTATTGTTCATCATCAATTGAATTGAGGTGAGTGTCCCTCAGAGCCACAATATTTATTGATAGGATTCTCCTTGCAGAGGCACAGCTTAGCAATGCTATTGAAGAGTTGAAAGCTGCAAACTTGGACTTGACAAGGCGTTGTGAGTCTCTAGAGGAGAGCTTCAACAAGGAGAAGTCCGAAAAACAGGTGAGGATGTGATCTTGTTTCATTGTTGTGATAACTTGTATATTTTCGACTGAAGTTTTATATGCTCAATTGTACATATTGGCATATTGCAGATCGTTGTGGAGTCTTACGAGAAAGAAAAGCAGGAAAGGGAATCAGCTGAGAGTTCACGAGATGTACTGACTGTGGACCTAGAAAGGGTCACTCATGATGCTAAGCGGTTTAGCGAGCAGGTAATGGTTGAAAGAGTCATTTTTTTTGGAGAAATGGTGAACATAGTCTCATTGAATATTTTCACATGGTTTTGTATCTTGAAACCTGTTTGTTAACATAATATGTGTTGTGAATTGTTAAACCAGCTAAAAATGGTGCAAGACACGAATAAAAGGCTTCAAGAGTACAACACCAGCCTGCAACAATACAACAGTAACCTTCAGGCTGATGCCTCAAAGAGTGGTGAGACTATCTCAAAACTTCAGAAAGAAAAGAGTGCCATGATGGAAACTATGGCTATTCTGAAAGAAAATAACAGCTCAATGGGCAATCAACTTGAATCTTCTAGAGTGAGTATTTTCATAA